CATATTGTATGGACCCGCCTGAGTTGAAAGAGTAGTTGCAAGACTTTCTTTATAAGGGCTTCATTAGACCTAATGTCTTACCTTGGGGTGCACCGGTGTTGTTTGTTAAGAAGAAGGACGGATCGATGAGAATGTGTATAGATTACCGATAGCTGAACAAGGTTAGAGGCAACATGAAATTCACGAAACATCTCAAAGGCCGAAAGTATCCCGAACACTCGGGGACTGGCGTCAAAAACTCAAATGACCTTTAGGTCAAAAATTCCGAAATTGTAAGACCTCAATGAGGCAATACAAAGCCTACAAGTAATGGCTCCCGAGTCAAGAAATCCTCGATGACTTGGGGACTGCCATCAAGCGCCATCTCCATCGACTTATCAAAACCCGAGGTTGTAAGGCCACACGCGGGCAGCTTCGGTCTCATAAGACCTATATAAGGCAACAACAATATCAGTAAGACCTCAAACAAGGCATGAACCATACTTGTACCAAGTATCCAAAACTGTAAGACCTCAAAGGCATGAAAAACTTGTAAGACCTTACTAAAGGCATCAACCTGATTTCAAAATTTCGGATATATATCGAACTTGTAAGACCCCTAAAAAGGCATACCCTTGATATAGATGCCGAAATTACTTCACTCGGGACTTAAAGGCTTCGGTCAAACACAAATGACTCTGATCACGAGGCTATACCGGCCAAACTAATGCGACTCGGGGACGCCCGACCGTCGTTACAAAATCACAGTCCCTCAATTACTTCGAATCTACTTCGAAAAGAACCGGTTAAATAGGCTACCCTCGATACGCCCGACCACGTCAACTCCTAAACATCGGCTTCGAGATACTCAGTCTCCGAGCTAAACCTCCTGAGGTGCTCGATCATCGCCATATAATGACTCATAATCGAGTTTTTTTATTAAACCATCGAAGATTCAGGAAAAACTTATTTCAAAAAATCCTTAACGAGGGAAAAATAAAACTTAGATAAAAGGTCGCATCGACCCAAGGCATAAGAGCCACTATCGCCAGTCCACATATATAAAAGCCTACATCTGATCTAATGCATGCTACTTTTGATTCCATTTTCACTTGAATTTTCTTCACAAAGGCTACAAAAACTTCAAAAGTTTCATCTTTTGTTCTAAGGAACACAGTCCAAGTGAATCTGGAATAGTCATCCACTATCACAAAAATGTATCTTTTTCCTCCCCTGCTTTGCACTCTCATAGGACCACATAGATTGATATGAAGGAGATCAAGTGGTTTTGAGGTGCTGACATCCTTCTTTGGATTGAATGAAGATTTCACATGCTTCCCTCTAGCGCAGGCATCACAAACTTTGTGCTCCATGAACTTTGACTTGGGCAGACCACGGGCCGGGTCCTTTTGAACTAGCTTATTCAGTAGAGAGAAACTTGCATGCCCCTGTCTTCTGTGCCACAGTTCAACATCATCATCAACTGCTTTCAAGAAACTCAGATCACCACTTTGTAGGGACTCAAAATCAGCAACATAGATATTCTTGTATCTTTTGCCACAAGCAACTCTTCACTCGTTACTAGATTTGTAATTGTGCATATCTTTGACAAGAACTCCACCTTATTTCCTTTATCACATATTTGAGAAACACTCAGGAGACTATACTTAAGACTATTGACATAGTACATATTCTCAATTCCGTGAGTGAGTAATTTCCCAATCTTTCCAACTCCAAGAATGTACCTTTTTTCCCATTACTGAAGGATACACTCCCTCCTTGCAAGGCTTTTAGTGAAAGAAAATCTATGGTATTCCCAGTCATATGCTTTGAGTATTCACTATTTATGAACCATTGTTGACTGCTTCCTTTCACTATTCCCTACACAAAGAGAACACGGGTTAGACTTAGGAACCTAAGCAAGTTTGGGTCCCTTGTAATAAACAAGAGGATGAATAAGTTCTCTTCTAGTCCATGCAGGTAACATGCGCTTTTTATAGGTGGCACCTAGTCCCTTTTCAGCAGTTACTCTCTCAGCAAATACTTTGTTTTTCTTAAAAGACTGAACCCTAGCTTAGCAATTTTATTTGAAATGCCCATTGTTCCCACAGTGGGTACATAGTCAATTGTCAGGTACAGTAACATACTTGCTATTAGGGTTATAAAGATTTCTCTCCCTTTGAAATCCTATTCCCTGCATGTTTCCACCATTGTTAACGTACATGGCAGTAATAGCATCCAAGGACCAGGTCTACTTAAGAGACTTCTCAAGATCATTTTTTACCCTTTCCAATTCTGTTTAAAGTTGTCTATTTTTCTCAAGTTCAGCACATAGACTAGTTTTTACAACATTTAACTCATTTTCAAGCCTAATATGTGCTTCACTAGCAACTTTTATCCCTTTCTCAGAATTTCTAGGTCTACATTCTGCTTTGAGTTTCTCTATTGTTTCCTTTAAGTCTATAATCACAACTAAGAGGTCATCTCTTTCTTGCTCTAAGGCATCAACTTTCTCCACAAAGTCATTTTTTTCTTTACCGAATTTTTCAATGGTTTCTTTTAAGTCAATACTACTACCATCAAATCATCTCTTTTATGTTCTACACTAGCAACTTTCTCAGTTCAAACCTCCTTTTCATTTTTCAAATTACCTATGGTTTCCTTCTGATCAACCACACAAACTACTAGGTCATCTCTAGTTTGTTCAGCATCTCCTAACTCTATGGTTAAGGCATCATTATCATCTACAAGCCTATGATAGGCATCAATTAATACATTGGCTAATGACATGAGTTTCTTAGGAGAGTATGATTTCAGATTTCTCTAAATATCCCTGAAATTTACCTCATCATTGTCATCATCTTCATCATTGTCTGACTGAGCCATCAAGGCAAATATTGAATCATATTCATTTGCTTCACTTTCAATGGCCATCATAGAACTATCACCTGCATCATTTTCTTCTTCAGACTCACTAGAGGAATCTCCCCATGCAGCAAGAGCTTGCTTCACAATATTGTCAGCGGTGTTCTTTCTTTTGAAGCATTTGTCAGGTACTGGGTTCCTCTTGGCTACTTTATCAAGGTTGTACTTGAAGTGTTCTTGCTTCAGGAAAGGGCAATCTTTGATGAAATGCCCTGGCTTACCATATTTATGACAGAGGTCATAATTCTTTGGTTTGCTGGTACTACCTCTCTTAGGTATGCCTCCATTCCTTCGGACCATCTTCTGAAACCTTTTGGTTAAGTAAGCCATGTCACTGTCCTCCTCACTTGAGTCATTGCTTTCCGCTTTGAATACCAGGTTCTTTTCCTTCTTTGGTTCTCTTCTTTCACCGTCCTTCTTCTTCTTCTTCTTCTTCTTCTTTATTTCGTAGGTTTTCAGATTTCCAACTAGCTCATCTATAGGTAGGGCATGCAGATCCTTTGCTTCAGTGGTGGCATTCACTTTACTCTCCCATGAACTGTGCAAAATATTGAGAATTTTTCTCACGAGCTTGTTCCTAGGAATGATTTGTCCAAGTGAGTGTAGCTCATTTATGATAGACGTGATTCTTGTGTGCATGTCTTGAATGGATTCATCGTCCTTCATTCTGAAGAGCTCATACTCGGTGGTGAGCATGTCAATCTTAGATTGTTTTACCTGAGTGGTTCCTCCTGTTCTGTTTGTAAAGCTTCCCATATTTCTTTGGCGGATTGACAGGCTGAGATCCTGTTGTATTCATCAGGTCCTATGCCACATACCAAAATTTTCTTGGCACAAAAGTTTTTCTCCACAACTTTCCTATCTGCATCTTTGTATTCTTTCCTGGTTTTTGGCACCGTCTCTGGAAGGTCTCCGACCTTCTTTATTGGGAAATAAGGACCATCACTCTCATGCATTCTTGTCCTCTACCACCCATAGTATTGTCCTTGAACCTGGGTGGTCTGTATGTAGACTGACCCTCTTCGAAATTTGGTGGAGCAGCCATGAGGATCCTTTCTAGGTATTAACCTGATAGAAAAAACTCGCTTTGATACCAATTGATAGAATATATGAGTCCACCAAACTATATAGAGACCTGGTCCTATATAGATTTTCACAGAGAATGCTAATGTAATAGTAAGTAAATGGAACATGGAACTTTTACGTGGAAAAATTCCTACTCAAGGGGATAAAAAACCACGACCTATACTGGTAGGATTTCAACTTCACTATGAGCAAACTTCAGATTACAACCTATGCAATCTAGGAATTAAACTCTTAATCCCTCACTAACTTGTAATACACCTATTATAAGCCACTTTGCAATACACATATTATAAAGACTTCAACTCATGACTAATTCTAGTCACGACACAAACACTGAAGGTTTATGGTTTTCAAGAGGTTCCTAATTAAATCTTCTAGATAAGCAAAGTAGGAATTACAATGAAGAACAATTACAAAGTTACAACTCAACTAAGGATATACAAGAGACTTGTTGTAGGAACTAGTCCGTAGTAGCGTTGTACTTTGTTCTTGATGCACTTGAGAATTAAATGCTTGATAGAGTAACGGTTGGAGTGCTTGAATGAATTCTCAAATATTCAGTGATGTTTTGTTGTAATACTCTTTATTAATACAACTTGGATGACATCACTTGAATGATGTAATCACTTGGTTGGTCAATGGGGAGTGATTGTTGTACTGTGTTGCACTGTTTGCGTGTACAATGCAAACACTGCAGCATGCAGTCACTTTCCAGCTGTAGACAGTTGACTTCGTACTGATGTCAGGGAAACCCAAAGGGATCAGGTTCCTGTGTTGATTCTTTATCTTCTGAAGCCATGACAACTCAATTTAGCTTGAGTCCATTGATTGAGTTGTATACCAAGTGTGAAGGTCCCTTATCTGGTTCTTTGACAGTAAATTTATTAAATCATCAAAACATAAAATTAAGGTGGTGTGAACCCATGAATAAGACGGAGAGTCACTCAATAATTTTGATTCTCATCCAACCGCTATATATTCACTTCATTCCAATTCCAGCCCAACCAACAGAACTATGAGCATTTTAATACTAGTTCTTCACTTGTTTCTAACCTACATATACTTCCCAATCCCATCTTGCATGTATTGTCCCCACTCATCCTTTCTAGCTGAAATTCTTTTTTTCTTCTTCTTCTTGTTTTAAGTAAAAGAAAGAAAAAAATTTCACTTCTCGTTAGATCATAGGAAATTAAATTACTCATTAACTTAGAGTTTGCTAGCTATTTTTTTGCGTAAATGCAGGGGCGATGTAAAATAGATATATAATCTATGGAGCAAATAGAACGTAGGGTCCGGGAAAGGCCGCACTCCAATAATGTAACGTAGACAGCTACTGTATGTTAATGAGCTCTAACAGTGATATTCTGGGCAATTATGTTGGATTCTGAATAAATGCTTTATCATGAAGAGTGTTTCATATTTTTTTTTCTTATATATTTTTGTTTTGAATCATCAATAAAAGAAAACTGAAAAAGGATGTAGAGCTCACGTGAAGCGTGGTAGTTGCCAACTACTAGTTGGGGAAGTCGAGAGCGACATGACTTCGAACTGAATGACAAAAATACCCTTCCTTCTCGGAAATATCATGCATAACGCGGGTTGCCTTCCAGTTGTATGCTCCTATAATTCCGTTCATCACTATAAATAAAATACCACAATTCTGTTCTCCATCATAATTTACAAACTCTTCTGACTCTGAGAGAGAGAGAGAGAGACGATTTAAGAGTTAAGACTAAGGATTTTAATTTAATTGGTGGTCGATCTATGCAAACGAAGCAAGAATCGTCGATCAAATTGGGAGGAGTTGTTGAGTTGAAATTGGATGCTGCAGGTTCTGATTATGAGCTGGTTTGATAAGCTACGGTGTTCGTCCAATCTCAGCCGCTTCATTGCCGGCCTTCTCATCTTCATGCTTTATCATTCCAACCAATTAATTTCTAATTTCTTACTTCCTATACACCCTTAATTTCATTCATCTCATACGCCAACTCTTCAATCTCTATTCTCTGTTTTTGCGCTCTTACCTGTTCAAAAACAATCCTTCCGATTCTTCCAATTCAAACAACGTCGCCGTTTTTCGTCACGGATAATTTCATGGAAATCAAAGATGATGATTCTGGCTCCAGTAATTTCCTTGACGGTTAGTTTCCTAATTTCCTCGAATTATCTGTCCTTCTTACTTTTCTTTCATTGTTATTTCGTTGCTTCAGGAAATAATCATCCATTTTACCTGAACTGTTATGATCCTATTGATTTTCTTAATTAATGATTACTGTGTTTGATGTGATCTGTGCGAAACTTGTCCTGTTTTATACTATGACATTTTTACCATTGCCGTGTTTAATGATTTAGTACTAAGTAAAGACGCACACACACAAAGAAAAGAACATTGCTGATGATGAAATGATTGAGGTCATAGAGTACAGGTTCTAATTCGGATAGAAATTTTAGGTTGACATAGTAGAATTATCTTTCATTCGTCGAGTAATTTAACAAAAAACTAAGATTGGCATTATGCTAGCAACATGTATTCCATGTGTGGACGTTATTACTAAATGGGAGTAATTCATGAAATGCCTCTGGCAAAATGTTGAACAAACACCATGTCTTCTTTCATATTTCAGACGTTGTTGATATTGGTTTGGGCTTGAATTAATAATAATCTCGACAAATATTGAGGTTTCGTTCAGTTTTATTTGACTTTAGGTTGTCTCTTCCAGATAATTTTTCTGGGAGAACTGACAATATTATAATATACTTTGAAAAATAAAACAATACTATAATACACAAGTCAAAACAAAACTTCTTAAAGGGTGTAAACATCTTAATAGTCTAATAGTTTGTTTCTTTCTCAAGACCACATTTTCCTTTCCTAAATTCATCACAGCTAAGAACTGTGTAACGTCCATGACATTTTCAGCCTTTAAAGTGTATATGCTTTATCTTAACTCTTCACATTAAGTATTTTGCTTTTACTTTGTTGGAGCATTGAAGAACTTTATATTCATGTCCATCATAAAGAGTGTTGATATGTTTTGTTGCCTATTCTTATGATATCACTGATGGAGCTTTATCTGTTCCTTTCTTTTCCTTGACTAGGCACTTTACCACCCCGCTTAGGTCGGCCGCATAGTTCATCTCCATCTGTAATTGTGATTGGTGGAGGTATCTCAGGCATAGCTGCTGCACGTTTCCTTCACAATGCATCTTTTAAGGTGAGCATACTCAGGATTTAAAACTGTTTCCCATGTAACAACAACCTTTTGCTCTTTCATTCTTAAAAGAAATGCTTCTTATATTTACCCAGGTGCTCTTGTTGGAATCACGGGATAGACTTGGTGGTCGCATACATACCGACTACTCATTTGGTTGCCCAGTTGATATGGGAGCATCATGGTGAGAGAGTTTGATCTTCTTCTCCCAAATTATCTTTCCAAATCTGGACGTTTATGCCTTTAAATCTGCAATTAATTGACTCTGATAATTAAATGTTTTTTCAGGCTCCATGGGGTGTGTGATGAGAATCCTTTGGCTCCACTGATACGTCGATTAGGGCTCAGTCTATATCGCACTAGCGGTGATAACTCAGTACTGTATGACCATGATTTAGAAAGGTAACCTGGATGACATTACATTCTATAAATGATTTTTTTTCATGAATTAATTTGCATTTTCCCTCTTTCGTGTGCTACCCCC